CTATGAGTCGGGGCCGACTCGATGGCACATAACAACAACAACAACATAAGAAAAAGTTTGCCAAACTCTGATCTAGTACATAAAATCATGCTAAAAGAAAGGTACTGTTTTTTCATTTCTACCCCAGGTCATTTCATGTACTCTTTATTTAATATTTTATGCCCAGTATCTTAATACTAAGAACTCAGTACATAGTAACTGCTTTTGTTTTGTCTTCAAAATACACCCTTATCTCAATAATTTTTTGAAGTCTTAATACAGCCAGTAAGTACGTAGTGAATTATTTTAAGTGTCTTCTACCATTTCAAAATCAGCCCTGTAATGACAGAACTTTTCCCACGCATTATTTTTTGCCATCAAAATAATGACTAACAAAGCAACTGTTGAAGTTCTCTTTACTGTGACAGTTGTGGAGGGTGAGGAAAGGGCCACCAGATTTAGGATTGGGCAATTTGCAGCATCCTGTGAGTGGGTGCAGGACATCCTGTATTCACTGAGGTAGCCCCTGCATTAAAATCCTTGCTCTCCAGGCTTAGGGAGCCCCAATACCCTTATGTGAATGGTAAAATGTTGCTATTTTAGTCTAGCTAGAGAGGTGCATGCTTTCAGCTGTTCCCACATAGCTTTTTGTAGAGACAAAATAGCAAGTTTGCATTCTTAATTAGGGGAAATAACCCCCTTGGGAGTTATGAGATTTTAGTCACATGTGGAATAGTGCCTTAAGAACAGCCATGCTCCATGGTCTGGGGTGGGGGTTGAGCTTACAGCCTTGTCACCTGCACATCAGTCCCTGATGACTCCATTTGTCACCTGCATTTGGAAGGGGTGTCACTGACTTACAATGGGTGGCTGTAGTGGGGGGAAAAGAATTGCAAGGCTTTCTGTTATATATAGGGAAGAAAGTATGTAAAGTTCAGAGAACTTAAGTGATGGTCAGGCTTCTCAATTCTGAGAATTATGACCATGAGTTAAATAATAAAATATTATAAATAATCCAGCTGGATTAGGAAGTTTACATGATGTTATCATCATCAAATTCTTGTAAAGAACAGTAGATGCAGGCTGGTCCTACTTCTTTTGATAAGCATAGAAACTAACATACAGGTGCATTAGTTGACTTC